TCCATTTAAGTTATCAAAAGGCCTATGAACCCAAAGATACTGATCACTTCTCTTCAACAAACACGTGCTTGCTTTGTGACACTCCCTTTATCCTAGCAGGGAAGTCATTATACTTTCAGTACCAGCTAAGAAAAAAATAAGCCTTGCGATTCTATTTTACTATCTCAGGGAAAATCAAACAGCTAATAAATTCCTTTCTAGACACAAAAATTGGTAACAGACACATGAAAAAGTGCTCAACATCACTCGGCATCAGGGAAATACAAATCAAATCACAATGAGACACCACTTCACACTGGTCAGAATGGCTAAAATTAACAGCTCAGGAAACAAGAGATTTTGGTGAGGATGCAGAGAAAGGAGAACCCTCTTACACTGTTGGTGGGAATGCAAACTGGTGCAGCTACAGGGGATGACAGTATGGAGGTTCCTCAAGAAGTTAAAAATAGAACTACCCTACGACCCAGCAATTGCACTACTAGGTATTTATCCAAAGGATACAAACATAGTGATTTGAAGGGGCACAGGAACCCCAATGTTTAGAGCAGCAATGTCCACCACAGCCAAACTATGGGAAGAGCCCAGATGTCCACTGACATTTGAATGGATAAAGAAGATGTGATACACACACACACACGCACACGCACACACACCCAGGAATATTACTCAGCCATCAAAAAGAATGAAATCTTGCCATTTGCAATGACATGGATAGAACTAGAGGGTATTATGCTAAGCAAAATAAGTCAGTCAGAGAAAGACAAACACCATATGATTTCACTCATATGTGGAACTTAAGAAACAGAACAGAAGAACATAGGGGAAGGGAAGGAAAAATAAAATAAGGAAAACAGAGAGGGAGACAAACCATAAGAGACTCTTAAGGAACAAACTGAGGGTTGCTGGAGGGGAGGTGGGTAGGAGGATGGGGTAATTGAGTGATGGGCATTAAGGAGGGCACTTGATATAATGAGCACTGAGTCTTATATACAACTGATGAATCACTAAATTCTACTTCTGAAACTAACAGTACAGTACATGTTAATTAAATTGAATTTAAATTTAAGAAAATATTTTTTATTTTCTTTCTAAAGACATCCTTTCTCATAGACTTCAAAATCTAACTGGTGAAAGACTTTAAAATAGGAAAAGCAACAACTGTAATTATAAGAATCAGAGACTCTCAGAGTTTCTTTCTTTTTTTTTTTTAAAGATTTTATTTATTCATTTGTCAGAGAGAGAGAGCACAAGCAGGGGGAGTGGCAGGCAGAGGGAAAAGCAGGCTCCCCACCGAGCAGGGAGTCCAATGCGGGACTTGATCCCAGGACCCCGGGATCATGACCCGAGCCAAAGGCAATCGCTTAACCGACTGAGCCACCCAGGCGCCCTCTCTAGGAAATAGCACCTTTTTAGTACTCTGTTTAAGGAAATGACTAACCAGGCCAATTTCCAGAATGTCATATTAGGCAAGTTCAGAGGACTAAATCTGATCATTTTCAGGACACAACCCAATGAAATAAATGTGTGATTCTATTGGAAGAAACCTCTTTACATTTTCAGAACCAATGTAATATACCTCCAAAAACTGTCCCAACAGCTAAGAAGTCATATACTTAAGGGAGATGGGCACCTATTAACTATACACAGTATATTCATTATAAAAATTCCTGATTGATTTGCATGATTAAAACTAAAAATAATTCAAGAGAATGCCTTTTTATATCTCTTTGGGAGACCAAACTCTTTCACCATCATGCTAAGAAGTAAAGCTACATTTCTGAGCTGTATAAAGTACCAGCAATTACATATTTCACATGGCACACCACCTTACACATGCTGAGTAAATCAGATTAAGGATTAATGGGTTAATATATAACAGCCACAGATACGATTGCAGGTAAGCGTGTACACATGGGTTAGTACACACATATGTTACCCAGCTCTGTCCACTGAGAGCTTGGAAGCAATGACATCTCAGTAACAATGATCATACTAGCTCCAGATCCTGATTCTAAATACCATTCTCCAATAAAAGGAACCAGGGCTCCTTGGAAAAATGGATGATTCTAAGAGGTAGGACAGGAAAAATAAAAGATGAAGCTAGAGCATCTTTTTAGTACCCAAAAGTAAGTGCTCAAATCTGCCTTTTAACTTCGTTTTTCATGATGAGACTTTCTGTTAAGTAAAGGAAGAAAATATTATTACCATTAGATTGGCCATGAGTGATTAATGACTGTTGTCGCTTCCTTTCTTTTACCCAAAATATGCAACCCTGCATTCTCTAATCCCCAAAAGTTCACAGAGTAAAGAGGGGACTCATATAAAAGGCCAGAGTGGTTAGGGGTTAGTCACAAAATTAAATCATACCGTGCAAAATTCAAGCTTTTTACCAGTTCATCTAATATGCGGTTATTTTTTAGGTCCGGCTCTGTGACTGTCTAGAAAGGAAAAACAACAGATGGAAAAAGGTCAGAAATAATAAAATAACTTGTCATAATCTTGTTTTGAAAATGTGTGACCCATCCTCCCGAGACTCCCCATCCCACTAAGTCTTACAGGAAAGCCTCAAAATAAAGTTCATTTATCTCATACGAATATGGAATTTTAAAACAGTGAATCAGCATCTGCTGACTGGAAGTCTGATAGAAGCTCTCCACAGCCTCTGATAAAATCATATATGCTTTGTACCAACTAAGATAAAACCTAATATGAGCAAGGATCCTTATTCAAACTGCCATCTCAAAAATTTCTCCTGAAAAAGCAGAACAGAGATGCTCTTTTAAGTGACCACATAGGGAGAGGCATTAGGTGTTACGAGAAAGTTTAAAAAAAGGTTGGTGTTCAGGAATGCAACAGAAAAATGACAGATTTCATAGTTATTTGGCATGAATGGTATTCAGTTCATCTCCCTGATGATACCATCTTGGCAATGGCAAGACACCAAGTTGTAAAGAGATTAAACTTGGAAGCCAAACTGCATCATTTCTAATGTAGGGAAATAATTCAGAGAAGTTCCATGATATCCTAACACCATGTACCTACCAGAGGCACCAAACTAGAACCCAAACCCTTCAGTAAGTCCTAGTATCCTTTCTATTAGACCTCACTGCCTCTTCTTTTTCCTTTATTCCTATTTATGTTTACTTGCCCTTTTTACCTACCTTTTTGCCTACTTGAAATGCTTCAGAAACTCTAACATCAAATTTCCTACTGTTTTCCATGAAGGTCTGGTTTGGGAAAGAAGTAAGGGACCGTTATGGGGCACCTGGGTGGCTCAGTCAGTTAAGCGCCTGACTTTTGATTTCAGCTCAGGTCATGACCTCAAGGTTGTGAAATCAAGCCCTGTGTCAGGCTCCATGCTCAGTGCGGAGTCTGCTGGAGTTTCTTCCTTCTCCCTCTGCCCCTTCCCCCCACGCCCCCCCCTTTTTCTAAAATAAACAAACAAACAAACAAATAAATAAAATCTTTAAAAAAACAGAAGAAGTAAGGGACCAGTTAGGCTGGGCTTGGACCAATGGCCATGAACCTTTGCCTTCCACACAAATACTTAAATAAGCCATAAAAACATAGATAAGATTTAAAGGATGCTACATCCTGATCTTAGAATTAGTTTCTACTTCCTAAAATATATTTAGGTTATCAGAAATCTTTATGAAAAATTGCATAAAGGCCAGTTCTCCATATATGTGTTTTAGAGGTCCTTTCTGAAAATGTCTTTTATGTAGCTTAATTCAATAATTATACCTCTTCCCTTGTGCTTTTGTGTATATGTGATACAGAAATATTTGCATCAATCAATTAAGTTTACAAGAAAAAAGCCAGAAAGAAAAACTTACCACACAACAAGTTGGACATTGTGTTTTATAGGACAGAAATTTTCTTATACAGAGAGAACAGTCTGCAAAAGAACAAATACAACATAATAAATTAGTTAAGCTATATTAATAATATAGGAATCTGACTTCTAACAAACTCTGACTTAAGGGCGCCTGGGTGGCTCAGTCGTTGAGCGTCTGCCTTTGGCTCAGGTCATGATCCTAGGGTCCAGGGATCGAGCCCTACATCAGGCTCCCTGCTCAGCGGGGAGCCTGCTTCTCCCTCTCCCACTCCCCCTGCTCGTGTTCCCTCTCTCGCTGTGTCTCTCTCTGTCAAATAAATAAATAAAATCTTTAAAAAAAAATGTGACTTAAGCCCTAGAATATTTCCATCATCTAAGGCATATCACTATAATCTCAAAATTCTAACACCTCTACTCTACCTAAGCATACTTGCAAAAGTGATGAAACAGCATTGTCAGGAGAGAGAAAGCTACCAAATAATAATAATCATGAGTCCCTAGGATATCACAACCCCATAAAATGTAGGAAACATACATGTAAGACCTGGGATGGATACTGTATAAACGTGTCAAATATCCCTATGCCTAACATTCTAAAATATAAATTTTGAAATAAGATTTATACACATGTTAAGAAATAATATATACCTAGGTTATCAATCAGGGATTTCTACATCTTAACTCTACAAATGATGTTGATCATCCCACATATAACAAGTCCTTTTTGGCAAGCACTAAGAAAAGAAAAATATATAAGGGAAGGTTCTTGACCTTAACGAGCCAACCAAGTAGTGAGGTAATTTCAGTACCATTCAGTGTAATAAATCCTAAGGATTTAAGCAGGAAATCGGCATTAATTAAATTCTTCACACCCAAAGCAGTATAAAATAATCTCCCAAAGGAAAAAAATGTTACTAAATAGAATGGTCCCTTAATGGTAGCTAATTTGCTATCAGTCCAAATTCAGCTTAGTGAAGGGGCCTCATCAAAAAGGATTCAGTTTAAAGAGGAGGAGACAGTATGATTTCGGGTATAGCTATCCCGGAAATAAACAAGTTGTGGCAGCCTCAGCAAGAGCACCCAGGAGGAAAAATGAAAGAACACGTTAAAAGAGAAGATAAAACAGGCAATGGGTTAATTAAGTTTTGTGTGGAAGCAAAGACAAATAAAGGGGAAATTCTGGTTTCCAGGTTTACAGGTAAGGAGTTTGAAAGTCATCACCCCATCTCCATCTAATAACAAGTAAAAAGACTGAAAAATCAACTCTAACAAGTAAACAAGTAAAAAGACTGAAAAATCAGCTCTTCTTAGCTCCATGAGAGAAGTGAGGTTACAGGACAAACTGTTGCTCCCAAACTAGAGAGCCAGACAGGCTGGACATGGAGATTAGAACTTAGCAGAGCAGAAACCTCCACAAGAACCAGAGAAAGAGCCTCTACTAGAACCAGTGCTGGGGCAGGAAAACCTGAACTGTAATTGGCAAATTGCTGGAAACTCAGCAGGGAAGAGTCTGAGAGTTAAAAACTCCAGGGGTTCCAAGATATAAGGTAGGCCCACACATACATGAATTTCAGCTCCAAGGGTTCTACCAGGTACTCATAAGTGACCATCTGAAAAATCCCCTGCTCCTTCTGTGGGGGGTGGGGGTTGTAATCATTTTGCAATACACCAGAGCACTCTGTTCTTCTTAACAAGGCCTGCCCTCAAGAGAAACTACTTTACCAGACCCAAGTCTCTGGGGTATTCTCAGAGCCCAGCCAACCTGGGGGAAGGGAAATAATGGACTCCAGCTACCTCTACTCATCCTGTCCCAGCTAAGGGGAGGAACAAACTGAGAAGCACTTGCAAAGTTCACAGTCTGGGGCACAGGCTCACTTAATGACAGACATAATCATAGAACTACAGAACACTGCACTTCTGACATCTCATGGCCATGTTACTAAAGGTCTATTTATTACAGTTCCATTTCCCTGGAAGAATAGATGGGTAACATAAGCAGAGAGAAGGAAATTCTAAGAAAGAATCAAAAAGAAATGCTAGAGATGAAAAACACTGTAACAGAATGAAGAATACCTTTGATGGTCTCAATAGATTAGACATAGCTGAAGGAAAAAATCACTGCACTTGAGAGTATCTCAATAGAAACTACAAAACTGAAAAGAAAAAGACTGGGGGGAAAAAACAGTACTTAGCATTTTGTAGCAGGACATTATACAAGGTGTGATATACATGTAATAGCAATACCAAAAGGAGAAGAAAGAGGGGGAAAAAAAAACAAGAAATATTTGAAGCAATAATGACTGAGAATTCCCCCTAAACAGTCAGAAAGCAAACCAGAGACGCAGGAAGCCAACAGAACACCAACCAGGAAAAATGCCAAAAAAAAAAAAAAACCCTCATATTTGAGCTGCAAAAAATCAAAGATAAAGAAAATAATCTTGAAAGAAGCCTGGGTGGGGGGGACACCTTAGCTATAGATAAGCAAGGAGAAGAATTAAATCCAACTTCTCAGAAACCATACAATCAAGAAGAGAATGGAGTATTGAGAGAAAAGACCCACCACAAACCTAAAAGTTTATGTCCTATGAAATAATCCTTTAAAAGTGAAAGAGAAACAGACCTGCTCAGACAAGTAAAAATTGAGGGACTTCGCTCCCAGTAGACCTGCATCACAAGAAATGCTTTAAAAAGTTCTTCAGAGAGAAGGAAAATAATTTGTCAGAAACCTGGTTCTACGGGGTGCCTGGGTAGCTCAGTCAGTAAGTGTCTGCCTTCGGCTGGGGTCATGATCCCAGGGTCCTAGGATGGAGCCCCACATCGGGCTCCCTGCTCTGCGGGAAGCCTGATTCTCCCTCTCCCACTCCCCCTGCTTGTCTTCCCTCTCTCGCTGTGTCTCTCTCTCTCTGTCAAATAAATAAAATCTTAAAAAAAAAAGAGAAAGAAAGAAACCTGGATCTATATAAACAAAGGAAAAGCACTGGAGAAGGAATAAATACAGGTAAAATAAAAACTTTTATTTTTCTTATTCTTAATTGATCTAACAGGTAACAGTTTCTTCAAACTGTTTCTCCAGTTTCTTCTTTTACACACACACACACACACACACACACACATATTCATTTTTATGTGTGCTTATGTATAAGTGGAATGAATGACATCAATGATACAAAGTACTGGAGGGAGGAATTAGATGTCTTAGTCTGCTTGGGCTGCCATAACAAAATAACAAAATACCATAGACTGGTGCCTTAAAGAAATTTATTTTCTCACAGTTCTGGAGGCTAGAAGTTCAATATCAAGATGCCAATATGGTCGGTTTGTGGTGAGGACTCTCTTACTGGCTTGTAGGTGGCTGCCTCCTCACAGTGTCCTCACGTGGCAGGGGGAGAGAACAAGCTATATATGTCTCTTCTTTTAAGGGCACTAATCCCTTCATCAGGGCCCCACCTTCATGGCCACAACTAAACTTAATTAACTCCCAAATATTATACACTGGGGATTAGGGCTTATGAATTCTGGGAGGGACACAATTCAGTCCACAGCATTCTGCTCCTTGCCCCCTGAAAATCCATGCCCTTCTCCTGTGCAAAATACAATCATCCCATACCACCAGTCCCAAAAGTCTTTAATTCATTCCAGCACTGACTCTAAAGTTTAAAGTCCAAAATATCACCTAAATCAGATATAACTGAGACATGAGGTTATGATTCATTGTGAGGCAAAATTTCTCCCCAGATTCATTCTCTTGATTATCAATGTTATTCCCTTCACAGTATAAAAAAATCTCCTGGGCAATACTATAAATCAAAAATTCCCAATCTGGCTACATATCTCAATCACTTAGAGAGATTATTTTTGGTTTTAATTTAGTTTCCCAGGCCCTACCCGAGTCATATGGATTCAGTGGATTTTGGCCAGTAAATTGCATCCATAATATGTGATTCTGATTGAACAACAATTATTTTTTAAAAATTAGTATGTTTTGGGACGCCTGGGTGGCTCAGTCGTTAAGCGTCTGCCTTCGGCTCAGGTCATGATCCCAGGGTCCTGGGATCGAGTCCCACATCGGGCTCCTT